TGATGCAGAAAATAAATGAATTTAATGCAATATAATTATGATGCCGATAATGATGACGATTGCGAAAAATGCAGATCTAGGATCGTGATATCAAGGTCAGAATACAAGGACAATTGTAATCGGAGGTGGTGGGGTCTAAGCCTAACTGCCACCCTCTGGAGCGCAGCATTTATTTACTGACTTTTTGGGTCCTTGATTAAGAATTGGATGGAGGTTGAGGTTATTTAGACTTTGAAGCCAGTCTTATTTTAATTAATAGTGCGAGAGTGGGAGACGCGTGTATCCTGTGGGGGGAAGTGGGGGGATTGTTCACTGAGACTAGCAGAAGAAGGATGGATTTTGGTTGACGGTGCTAGTCTTATATATCACGTCTCAGGAGCACGGTTGGAGCGATTGCTCCCACTCGTGTTGAAATCTGGGACGGGTCGCGCGGTGTCACAAGCCTAGACTTTGCGACATTCCAGCAAAACAGTGGTGTTCCTGATCAATTCTGGCCGTTAACGTCAGTGCAAAGATAGCGTGAGGGTTCCTCGAGGTGAAACCGCGGTGTATGAAGAAGACGGTGTCGTGGAAGGTGCGCCGCCGATATAGAATCACGTTGAAACGGGCACATTCGGGTTCGTACGATTATTTGATTTTGATGTCGTGCCAGGTGAGATTCGTATTTGCGGGAGTCGATTCGCTCCTTCGCGGAGGCAAGTGGTGCGAGAGCATGGAGGTTCTGCTCAGTTGTCGTTGGCTGCCGAGGCTTTGGCTTGACCTTTTTGGGAAAGAAATCACTGTAGTGTGAGGATTTGACGTAGGATTGGCAAATGGTCAATGATGCAAACATCATGCTACCAACCGGGCGGTTGAGCCTGTTGAGTGAGTCGCCCGTTGTGTATCAATATCACCCGCTCTTGTGGTCCATAACAAGATTTCAGGTCAAGATTTGTTGACACGTCTTCTTACGGGCAAAACAATCGAGGTCGACTCTCGTCAGCCTCTCTAGTGTCATTGGACACGCACTGGACACGCCTACTCGACACATTGTGGCACAAAGATCTTGATCTTTGATGCCAAAAACATTACAGAGAGCGTGTTGTTGGCAAAAGTATCATTAGCGACTTCCCTGAGGTGCGTTCCTGGAAGAGCCGGCCCATTTCGATGGAGTGCCAACATGAGCGACTTCTCCGAATTCAAAATGAAGAAAACAAAAGGCAAAAAGCTTTGAATAGACTTCATCTACTCTCCCAACACTTATTCACTCGGGCAAATCAGCCAAGTTTTAGACGCGGCACAGCTTGAACAACATGAACATTAAATGGCTATTACTAGCACAGTAATATGAGGGTAGAAATGGTGGAGGACTGGAAACATGGCGCCGCCCCACACAAGCACTGGTTCACCCCGACCATCGGGAGAGCGCTGTCCATCACTGTCACTAGAGCACCATTGCTTCATTGTAGGGCGACTTCCACTTGACTGTGAGTAGAATGAGAAAAGATGCAAACTGTCTTTCAACCAGTGGTCTTTCAACCAGTGGTCAACGGGGCAGGCGGGGATGGCTTAAGCTTCTGGAAACTGTAGTTGATTAAAGTGATGATTCTTGTATAATGATGATTACAACTCAAAGAGATTTCACGAGGATCGTTCATATGAGGTTTAGCTTGTGCGTCCCAGCGAGGAGCACGTTCCCAGAGAAAGGACACAACTAGTTCCATTTGGTATTAGCGACGGGAGTTGTACAAAGTTGGAACTGTTGTCTATACTTTTAGATGGTCAACACATGACTATCCCAGGCAACTGGTGCGATGCTGTCGAAAGTGTCGAGAACCCCCTCGTAGGGTAAAGGGGAGATTTCGAGCCTTAAACGTCAATCCAATCGATAGGATCTCATTCGACAACAATCTCAAATTGCGGTGATGTATCCGACTCGGTAGGATCCGAAGTGACTCGCATTATCAAACCATCGCTATCTCATCATCCCTGGCAAACGCCAATTCAACCCCACAAATCGATCGATCATATGCTCTGATACGCAATTAGAGAAAGAACGCCGTTGATACCGAGGCTCTACTAAATTCTGGAAGCACGGCAAACAGCGAGAGCTTGGTTACAAATGCGGCACTTCGGGCCGAAGTTGGTTCGGTCCCATACTCCCACTTTCTTTAGCGTTCTAGTCCCTCCTGCAACGACTAATTATGCCCATTGACCTGCCTATCGAGGCTGGATTCCCGCTCTGGGCCCATTCAAGGTCCTCATAGTGTGAATAGTGTCGAATTTGGGTGGCAACACATACCTGGTCGTCCAGTATGCCCTCCCGGCGACTATCCTACCCCCTTGGAAGCCTCTACATGCACAACTTGGAGTCCCACAACGACCATGAACTCGAGCATGCCTGAAATAGGGGCCCTGCTGCACGAGTCTATCGTCGCCCTGGACACCTGGGGGCAGCATACCTGCAGCTTCGACTTCGGAGGCATAGGTGCAAGCGACGCGTCAAACAATACAGTGAAAATCCAAGCATTTCTCTTTGCGATATCATTCAAGCCTACATAACGACAGCTGTCAGTCTCTAGATTTACAGGGATTTTGGTTTTTGAAAATCGCTACCGTACGCTTATGGTCTATGGTCCCGTATTCGCCGGCGTTCCCGTGTTTCAGAGGGAGGGAAACTCTTCCATCACTCGAGCACAGCACGGAAATATGTGCATATTCGTGCAAGGAGGTATAGCAGGTTTTTCAGCGACAGCGACCGCTGAAGCTTTTGTTCCTCGTGTCGAACAGCTGCTGGCAACAAACCAGCCTTTGTGCTGACCTCGTTCCTGCCGAATGCGGAATCATCCTCGACTGATCAGCCCGTATACCACCATTAGGCTGTCCGGAGCCACCACGAGTCGATTAGGAGCTGCTTCATCTCACCTTTCTCGTTAGGAATAAAATTCCTAAAACGCCACACGGGAACCAAAACACTTCCAGCTGACTTGGCCACGTGGTGATCATCATAGCATCATCGCAAGGAGACAAAAAAAAACTTGAGGAGGACAATAGATTCCCCTTGCAGATGAACCCCGACCGAAAATTCACCGTAGTTTACTATGGCCCCGGGGAGAGACATTTTTTAAACGTGGCCACACTTTGCAAGGTTACTCCGCGATGGACGGGAGGGGGACGCTCGCTCCTCAATGCTGCCTGCTTGGCTTCCTGAGCGTTCGTGCTGTCCATGTAGTAGTGCTTGGTCATGGAGCGCCCAAATCAGCTCGTGTCTTTGTGATGGGAAGCTTCGTGGGGCGAATGTATTGGACAGGATGAGCGGCAAGAGAGGGCGAGCACGATGCTATCGGCGCTCAGCATACTTTATCGAACCAGATTTCTGGCGCCTGTCTATTCAGAGAGTGTCGTTCGTTTGTCAGATCCGTGCAAAATAATGGAATGATCTAGATCGAGAAATGGCGAAAGCTAATGGAGATGTATCACTGTCCAACGAGGGCCCTTGTACACCGTGAAAACACCTCCACACCGACGCTTGTGGGGCACTGTTGAGCCTTTTGGAGTGGATTTTCCGAGAAAAAGAGTGATTTTTGCGGTCGTTTCAACTACTAGGAGATAGTAGTATTCTCGGCGACGGGTAACTACGGAGAAACCGACTAAACGAGCGAGGCACCACTGTTATCGGTATTAAACTCGCACCTAAAAAATTGCAGCTTTACATCCCGATTCCTCCCACCACTCCAACTCCAACTCCAACTCCTTCCTCCACCCGCGAGACAAGTGGGGGTTTGCTCAGCTGCTCCTGCTCCAAGGAGATATTACTGCTTTCAGTCACAAGGCTTTCAAGATCTAGCCTCTTGATTTGGATTTAACGCCACAGCGCAGGGGAGCCTAGTTGATTGGTCGATCGAATCAAAGGGAGATTCATTCAGCAGTACTCACATTCACGGTTCGCAACATCTTGTACCTTCGCAGACCCAGACTCGGCGTTCATTCGTCCCAAAAAAACAACTTGCCGTTGCCTGCGGGTGGAACTGGAGCTGCCATTGAGAGAGCGGAGCGAGCTAACAATTTATCATTCCCTACTCCATATAGAACAGGGCTCAAAAATCCAAACGAGTGGCCCCTCACGGTGAATTTCAGCCCAGTCGACGGTGGAGGTTCATGGTGCAGTGCTGAAAACCAGTGAATAGAGCCTGAGCCTGAGTTGTGTCACTTTTACACGACACTCAATCCAGTGGTCAATCGAATCCAAAAACTGATCAAGGGCCGTGCCACACGCGCTGGTGCACGAGTTTATACGCTTATACACCATTACAATCGACTATCAGCATCTTCTATCTACTCCTGTTCCGCCCGCGCACATAAAAAGGGCTCGCCCACCTCGAGCTATTCCCTCAGCTCCCACTGTCACAGACCAACCCTCGCC